TAAACTCATCTCATGAATAAGCCCATGTCTAGGTGTTTAAATGCACATGAATATGGATATTTGTGTGTGTTATGAGCTGTGTTTGCGGTGGTGTTTCTCTCCTGCTGACAGAAAGGAGGGCTGTAGTTCGCAGAGACAAAGAGAAACGCTTCGGTTACACCTCGACTCTCAGAGCTGGAATCCGTTTGCTTTACTGTTCCACTCCGCACAATCCCAATCCAGACGGCAGGATTATGAAGCTGTCGTTTGAGAATACTTTTTATTTATTATATTGCTCCATTATAAGCTTTATAGTGCAACACAGACCACAGTAGAGCCCAGAGGATATTGATCTTCTTGTTTGTCAGATACATTCATAAGAGCGGCTCAAATACTCAAACACTGAGCTTACAGATACAGACGAGTGTTTCTCTTCGGCTCCGGGCCGTAAACTAAAATAAACGCTGAAAATCTTACTTTATTGAAGTGCCTGTTACGTCACATGTAGTAATAACAGAACATTATGCATCATTTCAAGCCCTAACCCTCCAGGAAGCACATGCAGTTAATTACTAATACTCCTTAATTACACTGTAACAATGACATCCTAAAATGAAGCGCGAGCCTTTGCGTTTTGTTTTCTTTCGTGGTTTTTAATTTAGTTGTTTTGCTTTATTTTTGTTTTTGTGTGTTGTTTTGTCATTTAATTTTGTTTTGTTTTATTTAATTTTGTGCCTGTTTTGTGGTGTTTATTTTATTTACAATGCGCCGCTGTCGGTGCGGGATAATCCGGGGTTTCTCTCGGATCAACAGAGGAACAAAGATCTGGACTGATAAGCAGAAACTAAAAGCAGAGGCAGTGTTGTGAAAGGTCAGGTGTGTTTGCTGTGAGTCGGGATTATGCGTCTGGAACCACAGTGACCCTGAGCTGTGTGAACCGCACCTGGAGCACGAGCTCTGCTGAAGCTATAGATCATCACTGAAGATATAGATCATCACTGAAGCTATAGATCATCACTGAAGCTATAGATCATCACTGAAGATATAGATCATCACTGAAGATATAAATCACTATAGATTATCACTGAAGCTATAGATCATCACTGAATTTATAGATCATCACTGAAGCTATAGATCATCACTGAAGATATAGATCATCACTGAAGATATAAATCACTATAGATTATCACTGAAGCTATAGATCATCACTGAATTTATAGATCATCACTGAAGCTATAGATCATCACTGAAGCTATAGATCATCACTGAAGCTATAGATCATCACTGAAGCTATAGATCATCACTGAAGATATAAATCATCACTGAAGATATAGGTCACTGAAGATATAGATCATCACTGAAGCTATAGATCATCACTGAAGCTATAGATCATCACTGAATTTATAGATCATCACTGAAGATATAGATCATCACTGAAGATATAGCTTCAGTGATGATCTATAGCTTCAGTGATGATCTATAACTTCAGTGATGATCTATATCATCTTCAGTGATGATCTATAGCTTCAGTGATGGTCTATAGCTTCAGTGATGATCTATAGCTTCAGTGATGATCTATAGCTTCAGTGATGATCTATAACTTCAGTGATGATCTATATCATCTTCAGTGATGATCTATATCATCTTCAGTGATGATCTATAGCTTCAGTGATGATCTATAGCTTCAGTGATGGTCTATAGCTTCAGTGATGATCTATAGCTTCAGTGATGATCTATAGCTTCAGTGATGATCTATAGCTTCAGTGATGATCTATAACTTCAGTGATGATCTATATCATCTTCAGTGATGATCTATAGCTTCAGTGATGATCTATATCTTCAGTGATGATCTATAGCTTCAGTGATGATCTATAGCTTCAGTGATGATCTATAGCTTCAGTGATGATCTATAGCTTCAGTGATGATCTATAGCTTCAGTGATGATCTATAACTTCAGTGATGATCTATATCATCTTCAGTGATGATCTATATCTTCAGTGATGATCTATATCTTCAGTGATGATCTATAGCTTCAGTGATGGTCTATAGCTTCAGTGATGATCTATAGCTTCAGTGATGATCTATAGCTTCAGTGATGATCTATAACTTCAGTGATGATCTATATCATCTTCAGTGATGATCTATAGCTTCAGTGATGATCTATATCTTCAGTGATGATCTATAGCTTCAGTGATGGTCTATAGCTTCAGTGATGATCTATAGCTTCAGTGATGATCTATATCTTCAGTGATGATCTATATCTTCAGTGATGATCTATAAATTCAGTGATGATCTATAGCTTCAGTGATGATCTATAGCTTCAGTGATGATCTATAGCTTCAGTGATGATCTATATCTTCAGTGATCTATATCTTCAGTGATGATTTATATCTTCAGTGATGATCTATAGCTTCAGTGATGATCTATAGCTTCAGTGATGATCTATATCTTCAGTGATGATCTATAGCTTCAGTGATGATCTATAAATTCAGTGATGATCTATAGCTTCAGTGATAATCTATAGTGATTTATATCTTCAGTGATGATCTATATCTTCAGTGATGATCTATAGCTTCAGTGATGATCTATAGCTTCAGTGATGATCTATAGCTTCAGTGATGATCTATAGCTTTAGTGATGATCTATAGCTTCAGTGATGATCTATATCTTCAGTGATGATCTATATCTTCAGTGATGATCTATAAATTCAGTGATGATCTATAGCTTCAGTGATGATCTATAGCTTCAGTGATGATCTATATCTTCAGTGACCTATATCTTCAGTGATGATTTATATCTTCAGTGATGATCTATAGCTTCAGTGATGATCTATAGCTTCAGTGATGATCTATAGCTTCAGTGATGATCTATAGCTTCAGTGATGATCTATAAATTCAGTGATGATCTATAGCTTCAGTGATAATCTATAGTGATTTATATCTTCAGTGATGATCTATATCTTCAGTGATGATCTATAGCTTCAGTGATGATCTATAAATTCAGTGATGATCTATAGCTTCAGTGATAATCTATAGTGATTTATATCTTCAGTGATGATCTATATCTTCAGTGATGATCTATAGCTTCAGTGATGATCTATAGCTTCAGTGATGCTCTATAGCTCCAGTGATGATCTATAGCTTCAGCAGAGCTCGTGCTCCAGGTGCGGTTCACACAGCTCAGGGTCACTGTGGTTCCAGACGCATAATCCCGACTCACAGCAAACACACCTGACCTTTCACAACACTGCCTGTGCTTTTAGTTTCTGCTTATCAGTCCAGATCTTTGTTCCTCTGTTGATCCGAGAGAAACCCCGGATTATCCCGCACCGACAGCGGCGCATTGTTTGCCTGTTGCCTAGCGACGCTCTGAGCCCGTAACTATGGCGATCTGCATGAGGGCGTGGCTCCAGTTCTCCGGTTCTCTTCCTTCATCAATACTGGCAATCCATATTTCCCACTTTATCCCGATTGCTTGATCTCAGGCACTAAGAATGCTTTATTCTGTAGTCATCCCGTGGGATTTACTGCAACATGAGCAGTTATTGACTTTATGAGGATGTTTGAGCACCCTTTCAAGGCTTTATGCACAAGAATCCTTGTATTTGAGGCGTATGGATATCTGCAGAAATGTCAAGATCCAATGCCAACACTATTTTATTAAAGTGTACCTCAATATTTTTGTCAAATAATTTTATATTTAATTTGAGTAAAAGACTGTTTCTATACTAGAGATGATTTATTATTGGACCTTTGATTATTTAAGTGCTACTTTAAACTCGTGATGAAAGGGAAGCAGCGCTGGTCTTCTCTCCTCTATTGTGTCGTATATCGAGTGAAGCGCTTCTGGAACAAGAACACATGTGGGCGGGGCTTGATTGTGTCTGTGGGGAACTGATTGGATGGTTGTGGTTTGCTATTGGCTGATCTCATGTGAGTGACAGGTTATAGCCCCGCCCACATCATCAGAGAAGAGAAGAGATGCTGCAAGAGGAACTGATTCTCATTCAACATTATTAACACTATAAAGATGACGTGTACACATAAATCATTTACAATAAACACTGTAATATTCCATAATTTTTTTTGTCAATTTTGATTTAATAGTGGTTTTAATTAATATGTTGATCACATGCAGTGCTTTAAAATAAAGAGTGCCACTTAAAAATAAAATGCAGAAATGATTTGATCATTGATCAGTGTATTATATATCCATTCCTTTTATATTTATTCCTTATTTATGAAACTTTTGGCCGATACCGATAATTTTTTATATTTGAAAGCCGATAACCGAAATGTTGGCTGATAAATCTAAATCCAAATGTTTATATAATTAGCCTTATGATTATATTTTATATAATAATATAATATATTAGCCTGAATACAAAAGCCAAAAGTCTCACCATTAAAATCCATGTCCCAAAGACACAATAATGATGTTTTTAAAGTGATTCCAATCATATTTCAAGCAATTTAAACCCATCATGTCGAACAGTGCGCGTCTCAGCTGAGGGAAACAATACATTCATTATCGGCTTTAATATATCGGACAAATGTTCTTATTAGGCCGATATCGGAACTAATTAGGCCGATACCGATATGGTGGCCGATATATCGTGTATCCCTGATTTATATATATATATATATTCTGTACTACTAAGTGATTGTTCAATAAGTGGTGCTATTCAGTGTGATATATGAAAATTTGAAATTTGGTCACATTCAGTTCAAACTTAAAATTATTATTATTTTGGCAAGACTGATAATTATTCTTAAAAAATAGCAAATTAATTGATAATCCATTTTTTGTTGTTGTTGTGGAAAGCCACATTTCTGCCAATCCGCGGCTCTGTTTTTAACTCATTTGAACGCAAGGACACATTTGCTGTCTTTGTTTGTGACACTTCATCGTAACCGTTGTGTGAAGACTGTTCATCTGATCGTCTTTCGTTTGACTAAGTGAAGTGTCTTTCCTTCTTAACTCTTCCTCGTGTGTGTGTGTGTGTGTGTGTGTGTCCTCAGGCCTGCAGTGCTACTGTCACCGGTGCCCGAACCACACGTGTGCGACGGACGGGCTGTGCTACGTGTCCATCACGCGTCAGGGTAGCGTCACCACACAGCAGAGCTGGTGCATTAGCGACACCGAGCTGATCCCGCGCGACCGGCCCTTCGTCTGCGCGCCCTCCACCAAAGACGACACCGGCATCTTCCCCATGTGCTGCGACACCGACTGGTGCAACGAGAACCCCGACCTCAGCGCCTTCCCAGGTAACACTCGCTCGGCTGCAATACAACACGACTATCACCATAGACTGTAAAATATGGACAAAGCGTCAGTGATATCACCCATAGACTTTCTGAAGAGCGGTTTGAGGCCGTTTATGGGGGGTATGGGCGGAGCCATCTTGGAAAATCTTGGGAAATCCTAACCCCGCCCACCTTCTGGCCAATCCATATATGGGTAAAAGGGCGGGCTTTGTGTGAGACTGAGCCGGCCGGTGGACACGCCTCTTCAGCCGAGCCTCAGCTATCTGTACCGCTACAGGATCGACTGCAGACTAGGCTACTCTTCACAGTCAGTGTCATTCTAATGTTGAAACTCCTTTTCCTCGATTTACTGAAGCCTGTATGTAAAACGCATTTGCAGCTGCAGCTCGCTCATAGGCTGTGCTGCGGCAACTGTGCATCCAATGGCGCGGGCGCCTCTGACGCGCGACCAACTAGCTGCAGATCAGTCATTTATTCATTTGGCAGACGCATTTACAGTGTTTCAAACGTCAGTTATAACCACAGGTAAAGTACCTCTGACGCTAACTTATCTGAGGCGATGTAATGCTAACTGTTGCAGTGCCACTGCCCACAAACACTGATGCTAAATAGTGCTAACTACGTGAAATAGTAGTGGAATGTCACGAAGTACTCCTACAGAGTCGGTTAGTGCAGTTTATACCAGAGCAACCCATGTTATGTACGATAGTTCAATACGAATGTTCAGAAAGGAGACAGAGGTGGTGTGATGTGTTGTGTCAGATCACGGCCGAGACCGAGACATGAGCCCGTTATCAGCTGTCAATCAAGCTGTCAATCAAAGTTAACCACGCCCTTATTTGTCATACATTTTATATCTAAATATGATCTAAACTAACGAGTTAGAAAAAAATTCACCCCCCTCACAGTTGTCAGGCACTCGGAACCTATCGAAAAATACAATAAAAGTCCATGGGACCAACCTGTAAAAACATGAGTTTATGCTGTGAAAACGGACATTTTAACATGCGGTCTCTGGACATTTGCTCCCTTTCTGGACCTCCCTCTAGCGGATTGTCCATGTATTGCAGTTTTCCGCACTTCCGGGTAGGCTTCATTTTTCAGATTAGAATGTTGCCGCTTGCTTATCACACGGCTCTGTGCAATACTTGATTCTGATTGGTCAATAGCTCCATTATTCCCAGATAACAGCCGAGAACAGAAACACAGGCTCATCCGGTCACTGAAGTCATCAGCGCTACACACTCGCTAGGAACCGCTTTTCCTCGTGGAAGTTTTGCGTGTGTAAACCCCTTCGTGTGTGTGTGTGTGTGTGTGTGTGTGTGATCTCAGAATAAACCCCTTCAGGTGTGTGTGTGTGTGTGATCTCAGAAAAAAACCCTTCAGGTGTGTGTGTGTGTGTGTGTGTGTGTGTGTGTGTGTGTGATCTCAGAAAAAAACCCTTCAGGTGTGTGTGTGTGTGTGTGGTCTCAGAATAAACCCCTTCAGGTGTGTGTGTGTGTGTGATCTAAGAATAAACCCCTTCAGGTGTGTGTGTGTGTGTGTGTGTGTGTGTGTGTGATCTCAGAAAAAAACCCTTCAGGTGTGTGTGTGTGTGTGTGATCTCAGAATAAACCCCTTCAGGTGTGTGTGTGTGTGTGTGATCTCAGAAAAAAACCCTTCAGGTGTGTGTGTGTGTGTGTGTGTGTGTGATCTCAGAAAAAAACCCTTCAGGTGTGTGTGTGTGTGTGTGGTCTCAGAATAAACCCCTTCAGGTGTGTGTGTGTGTGTGATCTCAGAATAAACCCCTTCAGGTGTGTGTGTGTGTGTGTGTGTGTGTGTGTGTGTGTGTGTGTGTGTGTGTGATCTCAGAAAAAAACCCTTCAGGTGTGTGTGTGTGTGTGTGATCTCAGAATAAACCCCTTCAGGTGTGTGTGTGTGTGTGTGATCTAAGAATAAACCCCTTCAGGTGTGTGTGTGTGTGTGTGTGTGTGTGTGTGTGTGATCTCAGAATAAACCCCTTCAGGTGTGTGTGTGTGATCTCAGAATAAACCCCTTCAGGTGTGTGTGTGTGTGATCTCAGAATAAACCCCTTCAGGTGTGTGTGTGTGTGTGTGATCTAAGAATAAACCCCTTCAGGTGTGTGTGTGTGTGTGTGTGTGATCTCAGAATAAACCCCTTCAGGTGTGTGTGTGTGTGTGTGATCTCAGAATAAACCCCTTCAGGTGTGTGTGTGATCTCAGAATAAACCCCTTCAGGTGTGTGTGTGTGTGTGTGTGATCTCAGAATAAACCCCTTCAGGTGTGTGTGTGTGTGATCTCAGAATAAACCCCTTCAGGTGTGTGTGTGTGTGTGTGTGATCTCAGAATAAACCCCTTCAGGTGTGTGTGTGTGTGTGATCTCAGAATAAACCCCTTCAGGTGTGTGTGTGTGTGTGTGTGTGTGTGTTCAGGCTGATGGAGACCTAATCCTGATCACCCTTTCGGGTTTATTCTGAGATAACAACCGCTGTATATTATCTCTTATTATCACATTGCAAAGCCTGCGATTTAATGAAATAACTGCTCTGAGTTTCGAGGTGAAGTGCTTTTTGTTTGTTGTGAACGAGAGCAGCTCCTGATCCGGCTTCTGTCGGCGCCTCAGAGAGTCTCCGCTCACAGTAAACATGAACTACATCTGTGACGCCACACATGAGCCGGATATCTGCACGTGCTTGAGGAGTGCTGATCAGCAGCTGAGAAGCTTCAAAACATCTGAAAATGAAGAAATTACCACCAAAATAAGTGTTGTGATTGTACTGTTGTACTGTAAAATAAAAAAACTAGAGAAAAATGATAATTAATGTTATTTTACAGTTTTATTTAATTTATTTATGTTAGTTTTATTGTGATTATTATTAAAATGGTAAACAAATTAAGAAATATTAGTATTTTAATATTTTACTGTAAAATAAAAAAATAGAAAAATAATAATGTTATTTTACAGTAAATATTACAATATTCATATTTCTTAATTTGTTTACCATTTTCATAATAATCACAATAAAACTAGCATAAATTAATAATAATAATAATTGTTATTATTATTATTAATATTATTACTTTTATTTTATAGTCAGGTTTATATGTAATCACAACATTTTTGGCCTAATTGTGCAGCTCTACAAACAAACAGAGCAAACCTGATTTTTTTTTGCAGATTTTACATTATATTATATACATTACATTACATTTATATATATATATAATCGGGTTCTTCCGTTCGGCCTAGCTCTCCCCCTCGCACATTTATACAGATATACATTATCCTGCTCTGACCTCGACCACAGACTTCATGTAAACAGAGTGAAGTCCTCGGGAACAGATGCTCTCGTTCACTGCCTCTTCCAGCCTGGCGGGATCGACTTCTGTTGCCTTGTTCTCTGTCCTCGGCCTTCCGTCTGTGCAGATTTCTCATTCTGTCCCTTTTCTCCTAATTAACTCGTCTTCATGGATGTTATGGATATCCACTTGGGATGAATCACGGAGTGTGTGTGCTGTTTACGGGAGCTTGTGATTTTCCCTGGAATGGGTCTGTCTGAAGTCTAGACAGTCGTCTGTGGGAACAGCTCTATTTAAAAATGAAATAAGTGTTACTAGGCTTCAGATAATATGTTAAGCATGCAGAATCGAGCATGACTCATTTTTACTTAAAACCAGACACACAGTCTGGCGTTACTGTGCGATTTTGAAGGAAGAAACACATTACAAAGACTCATGTGTCTCTTCACTCGATACAGTCAGACAATAATCAACACAAGATCTGACAACACTATTACAAGAACTTACAAAGCTGAAGTTTTTATGCAGTATGCACTGTTACTTTCAAAATTGATGATTTGGACTTTAGTTCCACCCATCATCCACTCACCATCCAGATTAAAAAAAAATCTAAAGAAGCTGCCATTAAGATTGTCATGTTCTTTCCATTTTTTGTTTTTTCTATTCAAGATTCTGAGTTCAATATATGTGATTTTTAGCCTCCCTGTACATAATTATTTAATACTGATATCTAATGTATTTTAAAGGCCTTGACTGCTGTAATGTTGTTGACCTGGCTCTCTCTCGCTCTCTCTCTCTCTCTCTCTCTCTGTCTCACACACACAGTGCCGACACAGAAGCCGGTGGCTCTGGGACCCGTGGCGTTCGCGGCGCTGATCGCGGGTCCGGTGTGTGTGGTGTGTTTCCTCATGGTCACGGTGTTCTACATCTGCCACAGTCGCTCGGTCCTCCACCACCGCGTGCCGAACGAGGAGGACCCCACGATGGACCATCCCTTCATCACTGTGGGAACCACACTCAAAGACCTCATCTACGACATGACCACATCCGGCTCGGGCTCGGGTGAGTCTCTCACTCACACACACTCACACACTCAAAGACCTCATCTACGACATGACCACATCCGGCTCAGGCTCAGTGTTCGTCTGGTCGTGTCGTGTTCGTCTGGTAGTGTCGTCTGGTAGTGTCGTCTGGTACTGTCGTGTTCGTCTGGTAGTGTCGTCTGGTACTGTCGTGTTCGTCTGGTAGTGTCGTGTTCGTCTGGTAGTGTCGTCTGGTAGTGTCGTGTTCGTCTGGTAGTGTCGTCTGGTAGTGTCGTCTGGTAGTGTCGTCTGGTACTGTCGTGTTCGTCTGGTAGTGTCGTCTGGTACTGTCGTGTTCGTCTGGTAGTGTCGTCTGGTAGTGTCATGTTCGTCTGGTAGTGTCGTCTGGTAGTGTCGTGTTCGTCTGGTAGTGTCGTGTTCGTCTGGTAGTGTCGTGTTCGTCTGGTAGAGTCGTGTTCGTCTGGTAGTGTCGTGTTCGTCTGGTAGAGTCGTGTTCGTCTGGTAGTGTCGTGTTCGTCTGGTAGTGTCGTGTTCGTCTGGTAGTGTCGTGTTCTTCTGGTAGAGTCGTGTTCGTCTGGTAGTGTCGTGTTCGTCTGGTAGTGTCGTCTGGTAGTGTCGTCTGGTACTGTCGTGTTCGTCTGGTAGTGTCGTCTGGTACTGTCGTGTTCGTCTGGTAGTGTCGTCTGGTAGTGTCGTGTTCGTCTGGTAGTGTCGTCTGGTAGTGTCGTGTTCGTCTGGTAGTGTCGTGTTCATCTGGTAGTGTCGTCTGGTAGTGTCGTGTTCGTCTGGTAGTGTCGTGTTCGTCTGGTAGTGTCGTCTGGTAGTGTCGTGTTCGTCTGGTAGTGTCGTGTTCGTCTGGTAGTGTCGTGTTCGTCTGGTAGTGTCGTGTTCGTCTGGTAGTGTCGTGCGTCTGGTAGTGTCGTGTTCGTCTGGTAGTGTCGTGTTCGTCTGGTAGTGTCGTGTTCGTCTAGTAGTGTCGTGTTCGTCTGGTACTGTCGTGTTCGTCTGGTAGTGTCGTCTGGTTGTGTCGTGTTCGTCTGGTAGTGTCGTCTGGTAGTGTCGTCTGGTAGTGTCGTGTTCGTCTGGTAGTGTCGTCTGGTACTGTCGTGTTCGTCTGGTAGTGTCGTCTGGTAGTGTCGTGTTCGTCTGGTAGTGTCGTCTGGTAGTGTCGTCTGGTAGTGTCGTGTTCGTCTGGTAGTGTCGTCTGGTTGTGTCGTGTTCGTCTGGTAGTGTCGTCTGGTAGTGTCGTGTTCGTCTGGTAGTGTCGTGTTCGTCTGGTAGTGTCGTGTTCGTCTGGTAGTGTCGTGTTCGTCTGGTAGTGTCGTGTTCGTCTGGTAGAGTCGTGTTCGTCTGGTAGTGTCGTGTTCGTCTGGTAGTGTCGTGTTCGTCTGGTAGTGTCGTGTTCGTCTGGTAGTGTCGTGTTCGTCTGGTAGAGTCGTGTTCGTCTGGTAGTGTCGTGTTCGTCTGGTAGTGTCGTCTGGTAGTGTCGTCTGGTACTGTCGTGTTCGTCTGGTAGTGTCGTCTGGTACTGTCGTGTTCGTCTGGTAGTGTCGTCTGGTAGTGTCGTGTTCGTCTGGTAGTGTCGTCTGGTAGTGTCGTGTTCGTCTGGTAGTGTCGTGTTCATCTGGTAGTGTCGTCTGGTAGTGTCGTGTTCGTCTGGTAGTGTCGTGTTCGTCTGGTAGTGTCGTCTGGTAGTGTCGTGTTCGTCTGGTAGTGTCGTGTTCGTCTGGTAGTGTCGTGTTCGTCTGGTAGTGTCGTGTTCGTCTGGTAGTGTCGTGCGTCTGGTAGTGTCGTGTTCGTCTGGTAGTGTCGTGTTCGTCTGGTAGTGTCGTGTTCGTCTAGTAGTGTCGTGTTCGTCTGGTACTGTCGTGTTCGTCTGGTAGTGTCGTCTGGTTGTGTCGTGTTCGTCTGGTAGTGTCGTCTGGTAGTGTCGTCTGGTAGTGTCGTGTTCGTCTGGTAGTGTCGTGTTCGTCTGGTAGTGTCGTCTGGTTGTGTCGTGTTCGTCTGGTAGTGTCGTCTGGTAGTGTCGTGTTCGTCTGGTAGTGTCGTGTTCGTCTGGTAGTGTCGTGTTCGTCTGGTAGTTTCGTGTTCGTCTGGTAGTGTCGTGTTCGTCTGGTAGAGTCGTGTTCGTCTGGTAGTGTCGTGTTCGTCTGGTAGTGTCGTGTTCGTCTGGTAGTGTCGTGTTCGTCTGGTAGTGTCGTGTTCGTCTGGTAGAGTCGTGTTCGTCTGGTAGTGTCGTGTTCGTCTGGTAGTGTCGTCTGGTAGTGTCGTCTGGTACTGTCGTGTTCGTCTGGTAGTGTCGTCTGGTACTGTCGTGTTCGTCTGGTAGTGTCGTCTGGTAGTGTCGTGTTCGTCTGGTAGTGTCGTCTGGTAGTGTCGTGTTCGTCTGGTAGTGTCGTGTTCATCTGGTAGTGTCGTCTGGTAGTGTCGTGTTCGTCTGGTAGTGTCGTGTTCGTCTGGTAGTGTCGTCTGGTAGTGTCGTGTTCGTCTGGTAGTGTCGTGTTCGTCTGGTAGTGTCGTGTTCGTCTGGTAGTGTCGTGTTCGTCTGGTAGTGTCGTGCGTCTGGTAGTGTCGTGTTCGTCTGGTAGTGTCGTGTTCGTCTGGTAGTGTCGTGTTCGTCTAGTAGTGTCGTGTTCGTCTGGTACTGTCGTGTTCGTCTGGTAGTGTCGTCTGGTTGTGTCGTGTTCGTCTGGTAGTGTCGTCTGGTAGTGTCGTGTTCGTCTGGTAGTGTCGTCTGGTACTGTCGTGTTCGTCTGGTAGTGTCGTCTGGTAGTGTCGTGTTCGTCTGGTAGTGTCGTCTGGTAGTGTCGTCTGGTAGTGTCGTGTTCGTCTGGTAGTGTCGTGTTCGTCTGGTAGTGTCGTCTGGTTGTGTCGTGTTCGTCTGGTAGTGTCGTCTGGTAGTGTCGTGTTCGTCTGGTAGTGTCGTGTTCGTCTGGTAGTGTCGTGTTCGTCTGGTAGTGTCGTGTTCGTCTGGTAGTGTCGTGTTCGTCTGGTAGAGTCGTGTTCGTCTGGTAGTGTCGTGTTCGTCTGGTAGTGTCGTGTTCGTCTGGTAGTGTCGTGTTCGTCTGGTAGTGTCGTCTGGTAGTGTCGTCTGGTAGTGTCGTGTTCGTCTGGTAGTGTCGTCTGGTAGTGTCGTCTGGTAGTGTCGTGTTCGTCTGGTAGTGTCGTGTTCGTCTGGTAGTGTCGTCTGGTTGTGTCGTGTTCGTCTGGTAGTGTCGTCTGGTACTGTCGTGTTCGTCTGGTAGTGTCGTCTGGTACTGTCGTGTTCGTCTGGTAGTGTCGTCTGGTAGTGTCGTCTGGTAGTGTCGTGTTCGTCTGGTAGTGTCGTGTTCATCTGGTAGTGTCGTGTTCTTCTGGTAGTGTCGTGTTCGTCTGGTAGTGTCGTGTTCGTCTGGTAGAGTCGTGTTCGTCTGGTAGTGTCGTGTTCGTCTGGTAGTGTCGTGTTCGTCTGGTAGTGTCGTGTTCGTCTGGTAGTGTCGTGTTCGTCTGGTAGTGTCGTGTTCGTCTGGTAGAGTCGTGTTCGTCTGGTAGTGTCGTGTTCGTCTGGTAGTGTCGTGTTCGTCTGGTAGTGTCGTGTTCGTCTGGTAGTGTCGTCTGGTAGTGTCGTCTGGTACTGTCGTGTTCGTCTGGTAGTGTCGTCTGGTACTGTCGTGTTCGTCTGGTAGTGTCGTCTGGTAGTGTCGTGTTCGTCTGGTAGTGTCGTCTGGTAGTGTCGTGTTCGTCTGGTAGTGTCGTGTTCATCTGGTAGTGTCGTCTGGTAGTGTCGTGTTCGTCTGGTAGTGTCGTGTTCGTCTGGTAGTGTCGTCTGGTAGTGTCGTGTTCGTCTGGTAGTGTCGTGTTCGTCTGGTAGTGTCGTGTTCGTCTGGTAGTGTCGTGTTCGTCTGGTAGTGTCGTGCGTCTGGTAGTGTCGTGTTCGTCTGGTAGTGTCGTGTTCGTCTGGTAGTGTCGTGTTCGTCTAGTAGTGTCGTGTTCGTCTGGTACTGTCGTGTTCGTCTGGTAGTGTCGTCTGGTTGTGTCGTGTTCGTCTGGTAGTGTCGTCTGGTAGTGTCGTCTGGTAGTGTCGTGTTCGTCTGGTAGTGTCGTCTGGTACTGTCGTGTTCGTCTGGTAGTGTCGTCTGGTAGTGTCGTGTTCGTCTGGTAGTGTCGTCTGGTAGTGTCGTCTGGTAGTGTCGTGTTCGTCTGGTAGTGTCGTGTTCGTCTGGTAGTGTCGTCTGGTTGTGTCGTGTTCGTCTGGTAGTGTCGTCTGGTAGTGTCGTGTTCGTCTGGTAGTGTCGTGTTCGTCTGGTAGTGTCGTGTTCGTCTGGTAGTGTCGTGTTCGTCTGGTAGTGTCGTGTTCGTCTGGTAGAGTCGTGTTCGTCTGGTAGTGTCGTGTTCGTCTGGTAGTGTCGTGTTCGTCTGGTAGTGTCGTGTTCGTCTGGTAGTGTCGTGTTCGTCTGGTAGTGTCGTGTTCGTCTGGTAGTGTCGTGTTCGTCTGGTAGTGTCGTGTTCGTCTGGTAGTGTCGTGTTCGTCTGGTAGTGTCGTGTTCGTCTGGTTGTGTCGTGTTCGTCTGGTAGTGTCGTGTTCGTCTGGTAGTGTCGTGTTCGTCTGGTAGTGTCGTGTTTGCTTGGTTGTGTCATGTTCGTCTGGTAGTGTCGTGTTTGCTTGGTTGTGTCGTGTTCGTCTGGTAGTGTCGTGTTCGTCTGGTAGTGTCGTCTGGTACTGTCGTGTTCGTCTGGTAGTGTCGTCTGGTACTGTCGTGTTCGTCTGGTAGTGTCGTCTGGTAGTGTCGTCTGGTAGTGTCGTGTTCGTCTGGTAGTGTCGTGTTCATCTGGTAGTGTCGTGTTCTTCTGGTAGTGTCGTGTTCGTCTGGTAGTGTCGTGTTCGTCTGGTAGAGTCGTGTTCGTCTGGTAGTGTCGTGTTCGTCTGGTAGTGTCGTGTTCGTCTGGTAGTGTCGTCTGGTAGTGTCGTGTTCGTCTGGTAGTGTCGTGTTCGTCTGGTAGTGTCGTGTTCGTCTGGTAGTGTCGTGTTCGTCTGGTAGT